GGGGTCAGTAATAGAGTAACGACTACAATAAAAACATGTGGAGGGGGGGGGGGGGGGGCGCATGCGCAGCACACTCAGGGGAGGGGGTTCACACAGCACACAGGGGACACTCCACGCCGCGGCACGCGTGCACAAGACACACATCGCAAATAAAGCACCGAGGACCGACGCACCGACCCGAATCGGCACAAAACTAAAACGGCGCGCAGTGCGCGCAGCTACTACCCTGCCTGCAGAGGCGGGTGCTCCTCGGGTCCTCCGCGCGAACGACGACCGACGCGCCAGGGCGTGCTCAATCGTCAGCGCGTGGCGCACTCAATAATATAGCGGCAATACAGAATTACTTAGTTGAATGGTCAATAAACAGCCGCCCTCCTCGCTTGCAAGTGTGCGGCGACGCCGAGTGGCCATCTTCCGAGTCGCCTCAGGTCGCTTCAATTTGCACGCACGCGCCTGGTGTCAGCCCAGCGGTCATGCAGCGCGGCGACGCGTTCTGGACCCGCCCGAAGCAGGCATCGCCATGTCTATCTCCAGCCCTTTGAGAGCGCGAGGAGTCGCCGCCCCAGCCTTGCTGAGCTTGGAACGCGCTGGGCTGCGGCTTCGAGTTGGTGCAGTTTGCGAAGGCTGCGATGGCTTCGTTGGGGAGGCCGTGGCGGGTTGCCGCTGGCACAGATAGAGGAAAGAGGAGATGGCCAGACCAAGCGCGATGGCGGCCAGTGCGACCGCTCTCGTATTCGAGTCCGCCTCCTCCTGCTCCGCGAACGGCCACATGCCCCAGGACTGGGGCCGGCGGAGAGGCAGCCCAACCGGTAAAGCTCGATGTTTTCTTTTTTGTGAAAATCTTTTTCTTTTGAGAGCAGGACGCCGGGTTTGTCTTGTATGTGCATGTCGGGCCTGGGTGTGTGTGAGGGGCAGAGGGGCGGGAGCGTGCGGGGCAGGGGCCCAACGTCGGGCGGCTTGTCGGGGTCCGGAGAATTCGAGGCGGGAACGAGGAGGGGAGAACGGGCGGTCGGCGTCGGAGTAGCAGGCCGCAGGGCGTACGGGGTAGCCGTCACTTTCCTGCCTCACAAGGGCGGGGCTGTCCCGGAAAGTGAGAGACGCCGGGCAGCGTGGCGCATTACTGAACCCTCCCATACGTGTTTGGGCTTCCTCCTTTGCTGTCCCGTCTCCTCATCTCTTTCCCGCCTGGGCGGGGCGGTGGGCGGGCGCGCGGTGCGGCGTGGCGTGTGCGTGTGTGCGACCGCAACGACGGACCGCTCGCAGAGGACCATTGGGTTTGTACTATTAACAACGAAGGCGCTCTCAAAGAAAGAAACCGGGGCCCTCAGCGGAGCTGGGAATAGGACCGCCGCAAGCGGCGTGGCGTGGAGCGGTTGAGCATCCCTCCGGGGGCCCCTCTGCCGCTATTGATGTTTTCTTTTTTCTTTTCGATGTAAAGGGTTACGAGCGTCACTCAGCGTATGCAGCTCCGGCTCTCGTCGAAGATAGCGCCGACACCTCCAGCGAGCCCGCCGCGCTCGACGCGGATGCTGCAGCCAACGGCGTGGGCGGCGAGGCTCGCGGCGCCACGCTTGCGCTGCAGGCCGAGTTTGAGGAGCTATCACGCGAGCTGCAGGAGCTGTGGGTGGCCAACGAACAGCGCGATGAGGACGATCCGGAGAGGCTGCCCCTCGATGACTTGGTGATCGACTTGGATGGTATGGGTGGACGCTAGACAGATGATGACGACACGCACGAGCGACACACAGACACAAACAGGCTCACAAGACACACAGCCAGCTGGCTGCCACACACCCTGAGTAGGCGTACACATAACTCAGGGCCACATCCTCCCTGTCGCCCCCCCCAGCACTCCAAGGCACCAGAAGAACAAACAAGGGCACAACAAACAACAGACAACAGGAAGTGACATGCGAGGCTAGAGCAGTCTTGCTCTACCTCCAGCAATCTCGCCGGCCGGCGAGGCACGGACGAGACCGTGTGTGGGGTCATGTGAGGTGTCTATGGACGCTCTCCTCAGAGGCTAGCTGCCTACTGCTAGCCCTATCTCGCACTCACGGGCAGTGACAATTCAATGGGTGAGTGTTTGCGAGCAGAGGCGCGTGGGCTAAATCTAGGCCGCACGTCGTGGCACTATGACGAAGGTAGACGTGCGGCCGCAGCGCGCCCGCCGCAGGCTCGGCGGTGCGCGCGTGTTAGCGAGACCCGCGTGATTCTCGAAACCTCGGGACACCTTATCGACGCCCGGCCTCACAGCAGGGCTTCGCCGCGCCGCGCTGAGAGCGAGCGAGCCGCCCCTACCGGCCCGCAGCGGCGGCTTCGCTCACTGATGAGCGACGACAACGACACAATTCGCCTGCTCTCGCCACCTCGCCGGAGCGCCTTCAAGGTGCGAGCGCTGCTCTGGCGCAAGGAGCGGCTGCTCAGATGCCGCAGACCACTCGCGATGCTCTGCGAGCTGCTCGTTCCGCTCGCGCTCTGCTCCCTTGGCTCGTTGGGTGCGGCCTTCTCCCAGGTGGTTGAATATCCAGAGCGGCACTTTGCGCCTGGCAACCTCTCGGCAGCCCGTGCGACCGCCCTACCGCCGGCCGTGCTCCAAGGCTTCCTGTCGGCCAAGACTGCTGGTCTGCCCATGCTTGGCGGAGCTGCGGCGGCGCTCCCAGCGGGCGTGCCCGGCGCCGTCCCCGACCTCTCCCTCTGGCTTGCGTGCGCGCACTTTGCGTCGTCTCTGCCTGGGCTCGCGGCCGGAGGGCGAGGGCGGCGCCTTCTCACGGGTCCCAAACCCAACCCGCGACCCCGAACGCGGACCGTAGGCTCGGGCAGAGGGCGAAGGTGGCGCCGTACGACGGGTCTCGCCTCGCCGTCGCTCCGGACGATCGCGAGACCAAGGCGCTCGTCCAGCAGATGCTGCTCCGCGCGAGGCAGTTCGAGGCGCTCGCCGCGTCGGCCGCACGCCTCAACGACTCATCGCTGCGCAAGTCTCTCGACGGCGCCGAGAGCTTCTTCGGCGGCTCGGGCGGGGGGCTGGCGAAGCTGCTGCCCGGCGGAGCCGGTAGTGCGCACGGCCTCCTCCAGGCGGTGCTCCAGTTTCGGCTGCCCGAGGTGCGCTACTACGCCGACGAGCGGGCGCTGCTCGGCGCGGCGCAGCAGCAGGGGAGAGTGCGGGCGGCCGTCTCTTCACACCTCGAGGTGTGAATAGGCGCGGCGCGGCAGCAGGGGAGAGTGTGGGCGGCCGCAACGTCCGGGAGGCGCCCGGCCGTGTCGGAGCTTCGGCTGAGTCTCGTGTGGGAGCCGCTCGCTAGGTGGCCGTCTCTCTCTACCTCTCTCTCTCTCTCTCTACCTCTCTCTCTGACGTGTGGGAGCCGTTCGCTAGGCGGCCGTGGTCTTGGAGCGGCCGCCTCCTCCCGAGGGCGAGCCGGGCCGCTACTCGTACGTCCTTCGCCTCAACCGCTCGGCCGCTCCGAGGACCTCCTCGCTGCTCGACCGCTTCGCCGCGGGCGACCGCTCCTCGCTGCAGCGCGGCGCGCTGCTCCGCGAGGCGTCTTCACACTGTTGCTGTGAACAGGCGCTCTCGCTGCAGCTGGGCGCACTGCTCCCCTCTGCGAGGCCTCCTCGAGGCGTCTCGGAAGCTTGTCGGTAGGCGGGTTCTCCCGCCGCTTCGAGCGGTACTACTCTTCGGGCTTCCTCTCGCTTCAGGCCCGCCTCGACTCTGCCGCTGCTCAGCCACCAGAGAGGCGCGTCTCTGAACCGTCTCCGAACCTTCCTGCAGACTGCTCTCGACTCCGCCATCCTGCGCCGCGTGGCTAGCACGAGTCGCGGCGGCGGCGGCGGCGGCGGCGGCGGCGGCGGCAGCGGCGGCGGCGGCGGCGGCGGCGGCGGCGGCGGCAGTGACTCGGAAGCGTTGATTGCGGCGCTGACGCAGGCCCTCGGCGGAGGCGGCGGTGAAGACCTCCCTGTGGCGTACGGGCTGCCGTACCCGGTCCCCCCCTCCTCGCACGCCGCCTTCTTCGACCTTGCTGGCCCGCTCGTCGGCCTGCTCGTCCTCTTCTCGCTGCTGCTGCCGGTGGCGGCCGTGCTGCGCGCCCTGGTCGCCGAGAAGGAGTCGAAGCTGAGGGAGGCGCTGCTGATCGGCGGCGCCGGCCGCGGCGCCTACTTCGCCTCCTTGCTGCTCTCGCACGGCGCGGCCTTCCTGCTCGTGGCGCTGCTCTCCTCCTCTCTGATCGCGCCCTCGTGCTTTGCGCACTCGGACCCGTCCCTCGTCCGAGCCTTGTCCGCGCTCCTCGCGCTCGCCTCGGTGCGCTTGCAAGAGGCACGCCCGACGCGCGCCCCTCTCTTGTAAGGTTCGTGCTCTTCGCGCTCGCCTCGCTGTGCTTCGCGTTCGCGCTCGCCCCCTTCTTTTCGAGTGCGCGCCTCGCGGCGCTGGTCGGCCCGCTCGCTTTCTTCCTCACCTCGCAGCTCTTCAACCTGTTCGAGCGCGACGGCTCCCTCCTCGAGGGCGCGGTCCGTGCAAAGGCGAGGCCCCACACGAGATTGAGGCCCCACCCGAGATTGCCCCGAGATTACCCGAGATGGAGGGGGGGGGGCGCGGTCCGTGCAAAGGCGAGGTGAAGCGAGATTTCCCCGAGATTACGCGAGGGAGGCGGCGGTCCACTCCCCCTCCCCCCCCCCCTTCCCCCCGGCCTTTCGCAAAGGCGCTCGCCTCGCTACTGCCCGCGATGGCCTTCTACCTCGGCGCCTCGCCGCCGGCGCAAGTCCGAGAGGAGCACACGTTCGCCCCATCGACGCAGCCCTGGTCGGGGCCCGTCCTACATGTAGGCGCGTCCCAGCTGGCGCAGCAGGAAGGGGTCCAGCGCGGCGTGACCTGGTCCACCGTGTGGGAGGGCGACTTCCCCCTCGCCGCGACGCTGGCGATCCTCCTCCTCGACGCCGCCCTCTACGCCGCTGCCGGCTGGTACCTCGACCGCGCCGGCCGGTCCCTGTCGCAGTTGCCCGTGCGCCTCGCCACCGCCCTCCGCTCCCTCTGCTCGCGCCCGACGCCACGCCGCGCATCGCGCGTCGCCCTCGCGCCGCCCGACGCGCCGCAGCGGGCCGAGGCTGCCCCGCCGCCGCCGCTGGTGGTCGAGCCGCTCTTGGACGGCGGCGGCGCGGAGGCTGGCGGCGCGTCGAGCGGGGAGGGGGGAGGGGCGTGGGAGGGTGGGAGCGGCGGCGTGTGCGTGCGCGGGCTGCGCAAGGTTTACCCGCGCGGTGTGGCTGTGGCGGGGCTGGACCTCGAGATGCGGGGCGGCGAGATCACCGCGCTGCTCGGCGCTAACGGGGCGGGCAAGACGACCACGATCTCGATGCTGACTGGCTTGGTCGAGCCGGACGCACAGGCCCCTTAGCTGCTGGAGACGCCAGTGTCACTCGGCTCCGGGACTTTGGTGCCCAACACGGAGAGTCGCGGAATCGCGCGCCTCCGCCGGCGCCTCCGCCAGGGAGGGCGGCGCAGTCTGCCCCTCCTGACAGCCCGTGTGTCCCGACTAGCCCCTCAAGAAGGAGGCGCGCGCGTCGCTCTCTCTGCCGCCGTGCTCGTGCCGCGGGGAGCCTGTGCGTGCTCATGCTGCAGGCGGGCGACGCGACGATCGGCGGCCTGTCCATCCGGAGCGAGATGGAGGCCATCCGGGGCGCGCTCGGCGTGTGCCCGCAGGACAACGTGCTGTACGACCTCCTCACCGCCAGAGAGCACCTCGAGCTCTTCACGGCCTTGCGCAGCGGGGGTGGCGGCGGGCGCGCTGCAGTTGACTCGCTCCTGGCTCGGGCGAGCCTCGCGGCCAAGGCGAGGAAGAGTTGGTCATCCGTAGCTGTGAATGGGTGGAGCCTTTCCTCGTCAGGTGGGCCTCGCGGACAAAGCGAGCACCCTCGCCTCGCGACTCTCGGGCGAGATTACCCGAGATTACCCGAGATTACCCGAGATTACCCTCGCGACTCTCGGGCGGGGGGGGCAGAAGCGCGAGCTCTGCCTCTCCTGTGAGCAGCGCCTCTTCACGGCGCACACGCTGTGAACAGGCGGCCAGAAGCGCAAGCTCTGCCTCGCGGTGTCGCTTGTGGGCGGCTCCGCACACACACACCTCGTGTCCTCGGCCCCCCTCAGCCAGCCATCCACTCATCAGGACCCCGCCATCCGGCAGGCGGCGCGCGCACTCTCTTCCTCGACGAGCCGACCTCGGGCATGGACCCGCACTCTCGCCGCGCCATCTGGGCGCTGCTGCGCGAGGTGAGGCGCGGCCGGACGGTCGTGCTGACGACGCACTTCCTCGACGAGGCGGAGCTGCTCTCTTAAGTCACCTCCTCGACACCCTCCTAGACACCCCCGTGACACCCTCCCAAGACACCTCCCAGACACCCTCCCAAGACACCTCCCAGACACCCTCCCAAGACACCTCCGTGACACTCTCCCAAGACACCTCCTAGACACCCTCCTAGACACCTCCTGACACCTCCTAGACACCTCCTCGGCATCCCGTCGGTCGACCTGGTCCGCAGCTAGACACCCTCCTAGACACCCTCCTCGACACCTCCTCGACACCCTCCTAGACACCTCCTAGACACCTCCTCGGCATCCCGTCGGTCGACCTGGTCCGCAGCTAGACACCCTCCTAGACACCTCCCAGACACCCTCCAAGACACCTCCTAGACACCTCCTCGACACCCTCCCAAGACACCTCCCAGACACCCTCCAAGACACCTCCTGGACACCTCCTCTCAGGCGGAGCTTCTCGCCGACCGGATCGCGATCATGGCGGATGGCTGCCTGCGCTGCGCCGGCCCGCCCTCGCCCCTGGCCGAGTCTCGCCGCGGTGCACCGGGAGCGGTCACGCGCTCCTCCTGCTGCGGACAGGTTCGCCGCTCTTCCTCAAGGAGCACTTCGGGGTTGGCTTCCGCCTCACCGCGAGCAAGACCCCGCCCGCGGCCGAGCCGGCCTCGCTCAGCCGAGGCGTGCCACGCCCCCCCTTCTCTCCCCTTGTCACTCCCGCCTGTCCTCTGCAGGCCTGCTCGGCGGAGGCGGTGCTCGAGCTCGCCCGGTCGCACCTCGCTGACGCGGCAGCTGCCCTCCTCCTCGCCGCTCATGGCCCGTCCATACACGGACCTTCCCAGACCCCGTCCCTGTGCCCTCTCCTGCAGGCGCTCCTCTCAGACTCGCCTCTCGAGCTTGAGGTCCTGCTGCCGGGCAAGGCGCTCGGCGCGGCGGCGCGACTCCGCGCGCTGCACGCGCTCCTCGCGGCGCTCGAGCCGCGGCTCTCGGCCCTTGGCCTCTCTGGCTTTGGGGTCGGCTGCACCAGGCTCGAGGACGTCTTTCTCCAGATCAACGCAGACGCGATCGCTCGGCTGGAGGGGCTGGAGGGGAGGCGGCAGAGGCGGCAGCACGTCCTCGCCCGCGCGGCGGCGGGCCCGGGCGGCAGTGGTGGCGGCGGCAGTGGTGGCGGCGGCAGTGGTGGCGGCGGCAGTGGTGGCGGCGGCAGTGGTGGCGGCGGGGCCGCGGGCGGCGGCGCATTCGCTAGGCCGGCAGTGGGCGGCAGCGGAGGAGTGCAGCTGTCGTCCCTCGGCGGCGGCAGCGGCGCCGCCTCTCCTCCTCCGTCGCCCGAGTCGCCCGAGGAGGCCGGGTCGCACTTGCGGCTCGGGGGGTGCCGCTCGTCCGAGTCGCATCCGGCCCCGCTCCTGCCCGCCCCGCTGCGCCCGCCCGACGGAGGGCGCGGCGGCTGCCTCCCGAGCTGCTCCGCCGCGTACGGGCAGTACGTCGGCCTGCTGGCGAAGCGGCGGCTGACGGCGCAGCGCTCGCCGTGCACGAGCGGATGCATGCTTCTCTTCCCCGTCGCCCTCGTCCTACTCGCCCTCCTCCTCCTCTCCGCCGCCATCCACTCGGACCAGCCCCGCTTGCGCTTGGACCAGCCCCGGGACATCTTCTCGGACGGAGTCGGTCCGGGCGCGCTCGCCGCCGACACCCCCGCAACCAGCGCCCTGGTCGAGGGCTGGGAGAAGCAGGGCTGGTCTGTGGGCGGAGAGAAGCCCGCCTGCGACGTGGGCTTCCCAGCCGCGGCGCAGAACCTCTCTGCGTATCTCGCCCAGCACCCGGACACCCGCCGCCCAGTTGCGGTAGCCGCGAGCGACGCAGCCGTGCTGTGGAGCTCGGGGCTGCGGCGACGCCAGGTTGTGACGCTCGCCTTCAACGCAACCTCCACCCACGCGCTGCCGGCGCTCGTGCACGCCCTCTACGCGCGCCTCTACGCCAACCGCACTGGCGGCGCCGGCCACCTCTCCGCCTCGGTGCAACCACTGCCCGACACCGACTCGACGCAGCACGCGCTGTCCGCCTTTGCGTCGCTTTTCATCGCCATCATGATCATGATCCCCTTCGCCTTCGTCGGCGCCGCCTTCGTCTCCCCGCTCGTCGCCGAGCGCGAGTCCGGGCCCAGCAGCTGCAGCGGGTGGCCGGGCGCTGTCGGGGACGGCCTACTGGCTCCGCTCCTGGTCTTGGGAACCTGCTCACCTTACCCGCTGGTGGGTCCGGCTTGCCCCACTGGCCCGCCTTTCCTCCTTGCTGAAAGACGGAGGGAGTTTTCACCGGGGTTCGCGCCGTGGGTCAACTCCTCGTCGACCGACCGACGGGTCCTTCCTCTCTTCTTTGGGTTGGG